ATTGTGCATCCACGACGACCGTCGCTTACCAAGGACTCCATAATTCTTGAAGTTAATGAGAGACGTGCTACCGAATGGCAGGTCGAATGTTCGCTTAGTCGACACCCCTTGAAAATTAGTGTGAGCCAACATACAAGTTTCTGGTTCTATGCATCGGTTTGGCTAATGTGATAGCATAACGACAAGCGGTTTGCCAAAACTGAAGTCGCTTTCCTCAGTGTAGCAGAATGAGCCATCCCTAGGCCAGAACTGTACTTGTTTAGATGCTGCGGTTACTGATACATCAAGTCAAACTCAGGTTCACTTCTGAAAGTTCTGTTGAGTTCCAAGTGGAGCTCCCGTCGATGTGGTAATTGTGGGAGGGTTGACGTTTCCTAAAGTACTGTCTTGCCAGAAGGCCGACGGTGTCACAGACGTTATTTGTTGGGCCATTAGGACCTAACAATCAGGTAACTCCGGTTTTCGCTTGTCAAAGAGAGGCTGTATGACGGGAAAGGCTTTTCGAATTGAACATAAGTTCATCGATCGGATTTATCTGATACTGAAGCATTTCTTCTTTTACAACCTTTGTGAATTGGTCCTTTGCTTATTTGGATTGCTTATATGTGCCGTTGTCGCTAGTTCGTTTCTGTTACACTCAGTAGTTTCTTTTTTGTATTGCTATTCGAAGAGTGGAACTCTTGATAACTGTACCTAGTTTGTATTTTTGGGGACCGTTTGTAGGACAGACTTTTGTAGCACGTAATACCGTGTGCAGTAAGAAATCCCGTTGGGCTTCTATATCAAGATGAGAGTGGGCTTCTCATTCCACCAGCTATAAACTGACATGCAGAGCTGACAAATACCACCGTTTGTAATTCCGATGCCTGATGTTGGCAGAATGTTCTAGCTCATCTTCGCTGGTAACACTGAAGGTCATAAAGTTGTAGAGGTTAATTTCCTCTACATCTGACTCCAGTAAATGGTATCCGATTAACTGATCATTTACGTAGGCTAAATTTCCTGGTAGAATTTTTTTATGTGCTCGAGATTATTCTTAGACCCATACACCAGTTGTAGAAATTGTTTGTTAAAGAATGTTAAAATCAGCAAGTGTCCAGGAGGCAAGCACACAGGGAAACTAATGAGTATGTATGTGAGTGTTAAAAATCTATATATATTCATGAGTATTTTCAACCGATGAGAGAATAGATTAAAGATTGATGTGCGGACATGCGCTCAATCAGACACACAGAAATTTACATAGTGGACTTAATGTTTAAATTACAGTAAGTAGACAAATAATGCAATAATTGAATGGACTTCTTATAACGTCACGATCACTTCTACCCAGAGGAGCCAGGATTATGGGGTTGTCATTTGAGAATTCTTCGTTTGTAACTATGCAACCTAAGCGTGAGTGTTTGACTATTTCACCATCGACTTGATAACTCCAGATTTTCCAATAATCCTAGATTTTCAATGGTGCTGAAGATCCGAGCTTCAGTAGAGCTGTCACTTCCAATATATGTGTGCTCGGTGAAGTTGACATTAGAAAGTCTTCTAAAATCAGGATACAAGTGTATTCAAGACGAATAGAGCGTGATAATCTCTCTAGTATACGATCATCGTACTTGATGTCGGCAGTGGGCATCATGTAGATGGCTCTAAACAGACATCTCGGGGTGTTAAGCAACCCTATTGAGCACCATACAGATTAATGAAGATTGATAAACTCTTGAGTGGAAACGAGATGTGCTACCAAACAAGACAGTAGATACAAGGCTGCCCCGCCCCCATTAACCACTTGATGAGAAAACAGAACCACACTCTGAGCTTACCAGATCGTGGCTTTTTGAACGTTCTTGCTGCGGTCTTGGAGGCGATTAGTTCAGGGAAGAGCGAAAACGGCAAGACATGTTAACATCCAAATTATTATTTAAGGTACGGAATGCCAGCATAAAGTCACCTAGCGTTCTACAGTAAAACAGGACCAGAGGGTTTACACTTTTGACGAGCTCGTCGTAAGGAAGTCTGAAAATACTTGTCCTTAACTTTGTTACCGCACAATGAACACACCCGAATGTGTCAGCATCCTCAGTGAAACATGGATCAATTGCTTGGATGGAGTACTTTAGTTGTGTTCTTACATCGGTCAGGTACAAAATCCCGAACATCTTGACAAAGCATTTGAATGCTCGAGGCAATGACCATAACGATCTAAAACCTTTGAGGGCTGCTGCATTGCAATGTACATTTGTTTTGCAGTCAAAATACTGCTATTTTTGTTCTAGTTCGTGTGAAGGAGATGTACTGTCGATAGTATACAGATAACTATTTCCATGTCTGATATGCATTAAAATACTCTTTCTGTAAATAATTTACAAGTACCAACTATGGAACCATGTAACTAATGCGTATGAGTCGGCTTGCAGATAAAGACAATCGGCTTCACCACTTACTGCTCTTCATATTTTGAAATCATCGGCAAACAATAGTTTCGTTGACTTAGCAGTTTCGGTCATCTATGGAGGTAGAGAAGAAATATAGAGTCTAAAATCTTGCCTTGGAGTAGACCACTTTCGTCTGGCTTCCATTCGGATAGTTTCCCAGTTATCTTTGCACTCTCTCTACACAAATTTTCCTGTGCAATCTTGTACGGCACCTGTTATTCCATACTTGGAAAGCTGGATAGGCCCTAAGTGATGTTATCAAATGCCATGCTAAAGTCTGCAAATATCACATCAATCGACAAACCATCATCTTAAGCTACTGCACTCTCACAATTAGTGAATTAGCTAAGCGTGAATGCCAATTCTGAAACCCATGTAACTGTGGAACCAAAAGACTGTAGGGTTCTACGTCGCTTAGCAACTTGGCTCGAACTGTTTCTTAAAGTAGCCTAACGACTATGCTATTTAGACTGACCGGCCGGTATCCGAATACGATATATCTCAAATGTATGACTAACTTCATCACCCTTACAATGCCTAAGGAGTTGGGTTAGGGATAGAAGCATGTTAAACGGCATCGTCAGTGGTCCTGTAATAGTGTTCGCTCGAGAATACAGAAATAATGTATGTGGTTCATCAGAACCCGGTAACTTACTGAGCTTGAGGTTAATGAGTAACTGTAGAATAGCCTTTTCAGTCCCATGTACTGGTTCTGTAGCTGATAGTTAGTGGTGTGGTTGCGGGAAGTGTTGTCAACAATACCAATAGTGTAGACTTCGGCGAAATAGTTTGATAAAGTCTCAGGTTTGTCCAGATGCGATTAATGTAGTATGGCAGAATTTTCGTGCAACGATAATGGAGGAATTTTATTCCTGCGTCTTATCCTTCAGTTTACATATGAAATCTAAAGTCTTGGGGAAGTATAGTTGACGTATGCTATGGTATTTTTACGTATATATTCCAGATTTTTTAGTATCCACATTTAAATGGTTTGTGATTCGTTGACAAGGATGAGTCCCAGAATTGTTTGCCACGCTTCGGAAGCTTTAATGTTTCTCTATCTATCTATGGGGGGCAAGTGTGACAGCTCACGCGTAAGCCATGAAATGAACGATAATACTACGGACTCTGATGTGGCTTTAAGCTTATTCCATCCGCCTTGAATGGTGAATCTGTCGAAATAACAAAGTGCCTAATTACCAAAGTGTTACTCACCATACATTGAGACGGTGTGGGACAGATGCATACCGTATATTATATCGGAAAACCGAAGTACAGTTAAACGTGATTGCCATTTGCTAGTGGACAAAGTACGGAATATCGGTGAAATTATCACAGTGGTGTGCAAATACAATGTCCAAGAATGATAGTTCATGTTCTAAGTTAATATCTGTCGGTCTTGTGGTACGTAGTGCAAGTGTCCATTGAATATTCATTGTCAGTTGGCTGCCATCAAAGCATCCACCTAAAGTTGTAAGCTCTTCCCAGTTGATACATGGCGTATTGAAATCGTTAGTGATGAGACGACAATCATCTTTACTCCATGTACAGATGTGACTTGGGACAAAGTCGACAGCAAGACAACATGGAATACGGAATATTCCTCCAATGGTCACTAACCCATATCTAAATTTTTTTGTACAGCAAGCCACTTCATGTGTACCACCATCTTGCACCTCTGGTGATCTCTAACATCTCTAACACCTTAGTGAAGTTATGTGAAGCTGTCAATTAAAAACTGTACTTCATGAGAATCGTTTTGAATTATCGGACCAACAGCATGGTTTCAGAAAGGTTCATTCTTATGTAACCAACCTGCTGACTGCAGTGGACAGATGAACAACCTTTCTTGTTCGTAAGGGGAAGGTTGACGTCATTTACCTTGATTTCTCAAAAGATTTTGATGGGGTCGACCATATATGTCTTATCATTAAACCCAAACGATTGGGTATCAAATCATCTCTAAGTGACTGGCTCATTTCATACCTAAAAGATATACGTTTTAAGGTTAGGGTTAACTCCACTTTTTCACAGGCTATGGAATATCCTAGTGTAGTCCCTCACGGTTCAGTACTAGAAATTCTTTTCTTGATTTATATAAACGATCTTCCACAACAGGTATCATCAGACATTACTTTTTACTGACGACGTGGAACTTTGAAGAGAGGTACGCAGAAATTGGAGACACAACACAGCAGAATGGACTGTAGACACAACTTCTATTCCTTAAGAGTTGTCAAATGCTGGAATTCGCTGCCGACTGATCTAGGCCAGGTAACTTCACAGTAATCCTTTAAGAGGAAACTTGACCTATTCTTATGGACTAAGGGAAATATCCTGATATGATTTACCAATTAAGTTTTCCTTTATTATCGTTTATATACCTAGATTCTTGCCCGGAGGTATTTGTGATCCCCTGCTACTTGGCACGGAAGTCCTTTAAGCGTGAGCTTCTTATATTCCGGCTGCAATTAAACGAAACTCGATTTCGTAAACGTTTACATTGAAACGTTGCGTATAAATCCACCTTATATTCCATCTACAATCATTTAAACCATTTTGACTATTATGTTCAATAGTGTCGAACAGGATTTGAAATTTGTACTATCAACGAAGGTTGCACTAGACATTTCAGAAATATCGCTTGACTTGGGTTGTCGAGATCAGTCTGTAAGTTGATTACAATTATAAATTTATAGATGGTTGCAATGGCTGAATGATTAATGAGGGCTTGCAACATGAAACTACAGATAGCATAAAACTTACACTTATAGGCACGAACAGGAAACTGTGATTCAGTATAGATGTTGAACAAGATTCTGATTGTTGTAACTAAGTACAGTTAACTACTTTATCGCCCATTCCTCGAACCTTGAATTTTCTACAAAATAAACTATGTCATTCACTCCTTTTTTTCTCGAAATGTGAAAATATCACAATTCCCCAATATTGGAAAAACCGCCATAGTGAATCTTTAGGAAGTTTTGGGGAGATGACACAGAAACCCCAAAATTTCCCCTGACTTTGGAGTTTTTCCCCAAAACTTTTTAACGCAAACTTCTCCAAAAATTTCTAGACATCACGGAAAACCTAGCGAAAATACATACATACATTTCTTACTGGGATGTTACATTATTTTTCGTCAACTACGCATTGCCTAAGAAACTTTACGTTAATCGACTTATCGCTCTTAATAAAAGACTGATTTGTGATACATAGAAGTGTTTATTACAGTTAATGAAATTACAAACAAATCATTTATATGATGTTTTTCATTGCTTCGTAAGAGGAACAGGTTACGTTGACGTTGAACTATCATTCACAATGTTGCAGAAGAAAAACTTTTTTTGTGTATAATGAAATGTCAAGATATGTGAAACGTCGATGATGAACAAACGGTATGACAACTATGTTAATAATGCGGACAAAGAACTTACAGTTACGTCTGATAAAACTTGCGAATCCAGCTGAAAGCAAGACGGACAAGACAAAAGTCATATCAGTGTAAATAATGATCATAAAGTAATATTAAAAGTGCAATATGTATTATAAGAAACATGTAAAGTGGTTTTAGCTCACCCTTTCTTTGAATCGCCATCCACGTTTATCTACCTTATCTCTTGCGTCATGCAAGAAATCCTGGCTTGCTATACCCATAGGGTGTATTGTTTTCTTTTTCGGACAGGTCGCACTTCGGAAACGTGAACACAGAGCACCTACAAATATGTTAATACAGTAGTGTGAACTTACTTTGAACCGTCGTGTAAAATTTGTACTTACTAATACCCAGTTTACTTTTTGTTCCGTGCAAAGTGTACGTGTTCACCAGTTCCGGCGAAAGCAGGTAGAGTAAACACGCTTTCACTGATTTACGAGGATCGTCACATAGGAGCTCGTATAATCTTCCCACCTAAAATTTGTTCAAACACCTGTAACAACTTACGAAATGATCACGGAACTTCAGGTCATCTAAAGCAACTTCTAAAGAACGCAAATCATGAGTTCTTAATGGGAAAGCGATAGCTGCAGTATCTATTTGCTCCGTTCGCATGTCACTTACACCCATTGATAAGCGTTCACATAAAGCGATCACTTTATCCATCTTGCTAGACAGTTCAGTGACCGCTTTCAGAATCATTGTAAACATTTTATTTGCATCATTGCACGACCTTTTGTTATCAGGAATACAGTAAATGCAACTTACGGTTTATTAACTTCTGTCGATGTACATGGAAGTGGTGGTGATGAAACCTCTGTTTTGGATGATCTATATGAGTATTGATCAAATAGGTACATACTTCGCTACAGGAGAAAATTTTCCTGTCAAAATGTTGACAACTGGAAAATCGACCATGGCAAATCCAGTTTCAACCTCTAGTTCTTCAGAGTTGCATAGGTAATCGTCAAGTCTTCGTTTCGTAGCCCTAACACAAAAGTGATTTAGTAAGTTAAACAAATTTCCTTTTTGGCTTTTGCGCTTCACACGGCAGCGTTTCATTTTTTGTAATGTTCGTATTGTAGCCGAGTACTGTGGTTAAACATACTTTCCTCAGCTAAATTGTAGTCATCTGAAAACAATAAATTTAAATTGATTACAACTTACCACAACGATGCAGTACGGTACATTTTCTCAACGTGAATCAACTATCACAATCAACACCGTCAATAATGTCCTTAGCAGTAACATCATCTCGATAAATGAAATGGTCGTTGTTCAGGAGCCATTTTTAAGAATGCAAATCAATTCTCCTTAATAGCTAAGTCCTTCCATAATGAAATAAGTTTTTTAGTTATACCTAAGTATATCATATGCATTGGTTCCGATGGGAAACATTTTATCATATCCACTGGCAGATTTTCAAATGAACTTCCACCACGATGATGGATAGATTGGGACCTACTAAGAAAAGTGACATCACTCCTTAAATCGTGTTCACCATTGGGGAAAGTCATCCGACTACCCATTCGTGTCTCTAAAACCTGACATTTGTCACAACCAGCGGTACCGTTGTGTCCAACAACATACCTGACGTTACTGTGAACTGGAGCGTCATAAATAACAGCAACTAATTCAACTGTTAAATGTACCTGATACTTATCTACATTAATGCCTACTGTCAGAAACTCTTGTAACTCAGTTATAAGTGCTGCAGACATTTTGTTGAAATCAGATGGTTTTACTTCACCGCCGTATATCAGAATTATGAATACATTACTAGCTAATTGACCTGTTATGCGACCTAAGGTCGGCCACAGCTGTTGGTTAGAGCTTCTGAACAAGCTTAGACCATCGTAGTTCAACTGCAGCTTCAATTCGGTGAAACGGGTTTGACGTAGCCAATTTTCGGAAATCCTCAGTACACTTGATCTCAATCCCAAATGGTAGTACGTTCCCGATTCCAGGATTTTAGGCTCCTTGTCGTTCTACCGAAGCAGAACACTCCGGACGGATGTTGTGAGTTCAGGAATGCGCACACGACAAAAGTCCAGAATTTCGTCAGCCTTTTTAACGATTATGTCACCACCTTTCATCATCCCAATGACATGTCATTGGGACATTGACATTTCATTATACACAAAAAAAGTTTTTCTTCTGCAACATTGTGAATGATAGTTCAACGTCAACGTAACCTGTTCCTCTTACGAAGCAATGAAAAACATCATATAAATGATTTGTTTGTAATTTCATTAACTGTAATAAACACTTCTATGTATCACAAATCAGTCTTTTATTAAGAGCGATAAGTCGATTAACGTAAAGTTTCTTAGGCAATGCGTAGTTGACGAAAAATAATGTAACATCCCAGTAAGAAATGTATGTATGTATTTTCGCTAGGTTTTCCGTGATGTCTAGAAATTTTTGGAGAAGTTTGCGTTAAAAAGTTTTGGGGAAAAACTCCAAAGTCAGGGGAAATTTAGCGTTTTTCCACAAAATTTTACACAATTTTGGGGTTTCATTAATCAATATAAGTCCACTTACCTAAATTGCTATGAGATTCTGGGAAAATCCTCAAAGTTTGTGGTTTCCGTACCGTTTCCCTAAAATTTTTTATAGCGGTTTCCCCAAAATTGGGAGCTCGGGATCTTAATAAACTCTAAGTGGAAGTGGGCAACAAAGTAGTTAAAATCAAATCCGCGATGGGCATTTTAATTGTATACGACTATGTGCACATTATTGTAAGCGATTTACTATACGTTTTTTCTTCCGTTTGCATAGTTTTTCTATAGTACACTGTGTAAATAGTGTATGATATGTACGGTAACGCTCCTTATTTCCTTGGCTAACTTCCGTCAAATGTATGGATCTGATAGATGTTATCCTATCTTTTCCCTCAAACTTAGCTAGTCAGAGGGAAAGTGAATTTATTGGGTTTCAAGCATTTATTTTACATTCATAAAAGGTGTACGTGCTAAAGGACTTTGGAGAAAGTTAGGTTACTTGGGGAAATTTCTGCTCGAAAATAGTTACGCTAGCAGAAAATAATTCTTTCTGGACATTGAGAGAAAACTGCTTGAAGGTCTATTTTCTAAACCACCTCAAAGTTTTACTGTAGGCATTCTTTATATTTTTCTCCGTTTCGATATCCTCCAAAACTCAGAAATTTCCAGTTTGTGTTTCGTGAGTGTTAGAAGTATATCATTGATGCTACACAGCAGCGTGCTACCAGTTTTTTAAGTAGGTTTTATTTTTCTGTACAATATCGTCTGTCCTCGCCCTATGTCTTGCGTGAAACGAAAAAATGTCATACAGTAACACTACTTTCTTCATAAAAAGTGGTTGCATCTTCCTTAACCAAAAGAATTCTTCTGGTTGTACCTTTCCGTTTCAGTTTCAGCTCCTCTCTTCGTACTCCGGCATTTTAGATCATTGTATCATTATTCCAAAAAGACAGCTAACTACAGGTGAATATGTTGTTCGGTAGTTCTGCAGGGCTGTACAAAGTAATTTCGTCTTTGTCAAATAGCACTGGGAGATACATGTTTTCAAGTGCCGGTCCAGTAGAATCGCGATTAAACTTGGCTTTATCTCAGAAGTTTAATGTAAATTGTTCAATTTTTCCTCACTCTTCAGCCGAGCTTCTTGAGAATATATAACGAAAGTCACCGTCATAACCAGAAAATAGGCATATAAGTTCCCATAAAACTCAAACATTTTGTCAATGTTTGTAGGTGGGGAGACGCATTTCAAAGTTGTAATCGTGTCACATCATTTTAATAATCTTTCTCCTGTACAGGTAAGATTTATTCGATCAGTATGTATCAGTATAGAGAGAACGCTTAGTGCATAAATCAGTTAAACATGAACTGCAGTCTGGTGTGCATGCTTTATCAGTTATAGTAAGTTGTTCGTTTCCGTTACCTATTTCACATAAGGCTAGGGCAGTTGATGAACCTTTGGATATACATACGTCTCCACCCTGCCAGAAGTCTTTGTTATAATGTATTTGCCAAGGTAAGTAGGTTTTCATTCTAGATATATGCCAATCAGAACACATACTTATGCTAAAATTCCTCATTTAGGGCTGCAGGAATCCTTTTTTTAAATAATTGTTGATATGATTTTTGGGAGAAGCTATCGGCTAAATTTAAGGTATATAGCTAAATAAGTTACGTGTTTTTTCCAGTAGACATTTACTTCTTAAATTTAATTTAATAGTTACGTTGGATATGTAGAGATGAGGTGTTCACAATAAAAATTTCGTAATCATCTTGCCTATCTATTTTCTAGTTTTTATCTCCGTTTTTTAGTGTCTAATAAGAATGTCTATCTGTGCTGATTCTATGAAATATTATCCATGCTTACGGGAGAATCAACTAGTCAATGTACATGTTATCGTATCATTTTAAATACAAACAATTTCTGTATTGTCAGCAATGTTATGTTATCGTTTATTACTGTTTTTGATTTGCATTGGGGAACAAGCATATATATGGTAACTTGTTTGACCCTTTCTTGTAATGCGTGAGACTTAGAGTAGTTGTCTGCAACATCAGTCGCATTTTTGTTGACATGTCTTTATTGACACATGATAAGTGTTTCGTTGCACATTTTAATATTCCAGAATAACCACCAAGTGGCAGTTTGTAACGAATAGGTACTTGAGGAATTTTCGGTGGAGGAAGGGTAGTTATTCAGTTACCCATTAGTTATCGATATTTCAGGCTTCACAGATAAATGACCCTTAGAAGACTTGTTCGAGTAATCTTCCTCTAGTAGTTCAATTTGTGAAAAATTTATTTTTAAACACGTAAACATTGGTACAAGGAGGCAACAAATAGATATGCGCTACATAAATCATTTGGTTTATACGAGGGCTGGGATACTGCCTGGGTGCCCAAACCGAAATAAGCTGTTTTCTTAGGGGGCCACACCCGGAGCCTTTGACCTGGAGGTTCAGTCCAAAAGATAGTGGATCAAAGTAAGAAGATGCAGTCCCATGGTAGCCGGTGACCAATAATTGGTTGATACGTCATTTGTTCCCTCAGGATCCTGGAGCTCATGTGCACCGGTGGTTTGGAATCAGGGTTTTCAAACTCCCCTAGGTGGGTCGTCTGTGTCCATCGACCCAGTTAGGAAGATGGACATTCGCTTTTCGTCCTCTCAATTCCGAAAACAACACTCTGGTGAGAGAAGGCAGTAAGTAGGACTTCCCTGGCAGTGGTTGTACGCACGTGGCCATGTGAGGGCATTTCGAGAGGGACAGATGACTGTCCCCATTCTCGGTCATACCAGGGCATTTTGGGGCTTTGTAGAAAAGGTAACAAATTATGGGCGAACCACGCATCAGCGCTGTCGGGACTATCTTATTATTATTTGTTTTATGTCTAGTTTATTTGAAAATGAATGAAAATCTTATTGACTTAAAAATTAAAACCCAGTTCATTTACTACTGGTGCCATAGACGTTGTTGTTGGTTTATTCAGATAAGTTTCGATTTGTTATACATCTGAAGTGTCCTTTCCAACGCTATTTACGTGTGATACTAAAAACAACTATCAAATGAGGAATTTAGTGTTCAAGTTTGAGGAACGTAAATCTGACTTTAGATAATCCTTCGGTCAAATTTCCCAGTATAAACTTTATAATTTGTGAAAATTATCGTAGTGAACACTTGTTTTGGCCTATAAATTTTAGGGTAAAATTATGCTTAGATCACTATAGCTTTTGTTATTTTGTTTAGCTTTGAGTGAAATGTTCATTGCTACTCCGACTAGGCGTTTAGTTAGTTCAGCTAAAATCACGAGCTTGGGGTGATATCTCAAAGAGACTTTCTTCCTAGAGCCTTATGACATTCTATTAGTCAAATAAGGATTTTGTTACTGCTTATCTATGTTCGTTGTTTGATGAGATCTTCACTTTTCTCCATGCTAGTAATTCAATAAAGTATACAAACGGTCTCGGAAGTCAAGTTGATTTTTTTTGAAGTTTTTACTTTTAGTTGCAGGTGCTACTCTTGTTGCAAACATTTGTTTATTTTACAATTATGCTTTGATAATTGTGTACATATATGAACCATTAATAATGAAGCACTAGTAATTATGTCTTATCATCGCCAATATTGTCGAAGACTTTGAAAAAGATCCCTGCATATTTCTTAGTTCTTCTGCTTCATCTGTAGGTATAAACGAAATAGGCAAAATAACTATGGTTTCATGGATCAGCGAAGTTTAAGTAAATTAAGTGACTAGTAAAGTTATATATCTTATTTTTATCTATATGATAAGGGTTTTTCATTTCGAATAAAAGTTTGGTAAGACATGATTGCTGAAATATAAAATCTATCTAGTTATTCAACGTAATTTCAAAATCTTCGGACTTGTTGAGACGACAAAACCCATTGGTGTTCGCCACCTTTTTAATTGAACAAATACATAAGTCTCAACACCTAAGTGTTTCTCCAATATCAGCTGTTCGTGTTTCGGAACAACAGTTTCATTACGTTGTACTTTGTAGTTTCTTGTCATGTTGCTGTATAAAATCGGTTATTTGCTGCAAAATAAGTGTTAGTTAAAAGGCAATACGTCACTGCAGCTTATATTGTAGATATTGATTAAGATATTAGGATGTTCTTGCAAAACATGTCGTTTTTTGGATTATTACAAATATGTGCCTGCTCACTGTAATCCACCTAAATAATACTGAACCACGCCTTTATTTTAAAACCATTGTATGTGAATGCAAAACTCAGTTAAATATATTTGTGTATTTTATTGGTGATAAGCTATTAGGAGCACGGTTTTAATTATTTAAAGTTTTTTTATTGATTAATGCCTGGATTATCTGATCTGTCACATTCATCAGCACATTACATAAGTCATTACCGTACATGCACAAACTTAGTTTGATCTTAATTGCCGTCTGTATATTAGGACGGTCCAACCAAGCTATATTGACTGGAAAACTTGTTCCTTGAATTTCCGGCATACCCAAAAGGTTCGATCAAATACAAGTTCAGGACTCAAGGACGAGGTTGTATTCCTTACTGCATCAGCGTGGGAGCAACAACATACTTCCTGCGGGTAATCAAAACTCGATGGTGATGTTTTGTGCAGGCCGGAAGAGGGGGTTGAAATTGATATGTCTTAAAACCACCTGCCCCATGGACTTTCAATGCAAGCTATGGGACTTATAAAGAACGAAGCTTTAGTATAGTATTGATCCATGTAGGTGTGTTAAAGCCAGTCAGTCAGTTACAACGTAGGACCAGGCACATATATGCATCGGCCCAAGTTGCCATACCTCATTAGCACAACAAGATGAACACAATTCATAGTAGTTACTTCAATGGTAGTAATGTATAAAGAGAAGATTGCGTATAACGATATAATATAGGAAGAAAGAATTACTTCATAAAAAGGAAGGTATAAAGTATATTTATACATCTACGCCATTGTGGCCGATTATGAGCCATGTCACCTAGAGTCTCCAACGATTGGTTATGATTGCCACGCAGACCCCAGCCATGTAGTTTGCATCTTCATGGGCTAAGTAAAGTAGGAGTTTCATAATTCCAGCACAGCATAAAATCGATACGATGGAAAGTGCACATCACGAAATAGTCTATTTGATCTTGAGTCAGCTATACAAACTACAGTGAAGTTTGTGGAGAAACTAAACCAAAAGGTTAGGGAAATGGAGTGTTTCGTGGGACTCTAAGGAATTAAACGTTTGAAAACTCTTAGCAGTCTCGATACACGAGAAGTAAGGGCGATTTTCATCAAACTGGTCGTGTTCACTAATCGTCCTAGTTTGTAAAAGAGAAGATAAGTCATACGATCAGTGTGTCCAATGTAGTTTTGAAAAATGTGGGTCTTTCCAACAATTCAACGTCTACTTATTTATTTTTTTGGACATACAAATATTGGTACAAATAAGCACCACAATAAGTGTACGCCACACAAATGGAAAATGTGAAGTGACAGATAAAAGTAATTGAATGTAAAATTACAAAAAATTAGTGAGTAAAAATAGGTGGACAAGAGTAGTATATAACGTGAGAAACATTTCATTTAAAGAATTATATCAAAGAATCCACTCAATTAAAAATCATTTGTTTTTATGAAGAAAGTAGAAGAAAATTACAGCAGGACTGCCAATAGCTAATATTGTGGGCTATGTTTCACGACGTTTCAAACCACTGTGTTACATTATCTCTAGGACTCTTACCAGAGTCGTGAAGGACCGACATACTAGTGATTTACAGCTTTCATACCACAGCACTGTGTCAAGAACTGAGCATGGTTTTTTCCAACCAGTGTCGACAAATAATGGAGGATGTAGACTAACTCGGGATAGCGTTCATAATACATGTCTAAGCCACTAAACTTGGTGTTTCGAGATGATGGTACCATCGCTGTATCCGAGCACGCGTTTCCGAACCTATGCATTACTAACGGAGTGTTGCTCCTGATGTTAGTGATTCTTCAGAGCTAGCGACTATCAAACACAAAGAATCGTCTAGCATCCTGAATTCGAAGAGGTCAGGTATTTCGACCGTGCAATAAAGCTGCTCTCGCTGAAGTATTACATCTATATCTTAAAATAAATAAACCATCCTTAGGAAGAGCTAGGGGTGATTCGTTTGGGCCTGTCTACTTGTGGATATTCAGATGTTGGAGTTCTATACGGACCTCTTTAGATGGATCAGTCTTCATTGGACCGGGGAAAGAAGACAGAGTGATCTTTTTGGATTAGTGAACCGGTTGAACAGTCCCTCGAGGTTTTATGTTCGTACTCCAAGACGTCGTTGGGTGTTACTGACTGGCGGCCTATCAACTTCATAGATTGTCTCACATCAGGCTTCTTGGTGTCAGTGGTTTGGATGAGTTCTAATAGCTTCCGGTAATTAGCAAATGAAGATGCTGATCCTAACTTATTAGATTGCTCTGACTACCAGGTTTCTCGATCTTTGCGCGAACTGTACAGTTTCACTAAGTAGGAATCTACGTCTCGTCGAACTCGCGATTATCTGGTGTAGACCAATGTGATTCAAAGAAGTGTAAGGATGCTGTGGAAACCCATCGCTTATAAGTGGTGTGTTACACAAAGCCGGAAGCGACTTTAGCTATTTTCATGGTGTCATACAAATGAACTCAGCGATCATTGACACTTTTTGGTGGGTTGTTAGCTGCTAGCCTTGAATCGTGCTAGGTTCGATATTTAGTTTCATCGGAATATGGGGCTAATTTTTTGATACCGATCCTTTTAAAGTGGTGAGTTTGTTGGCCACTGAGACGTTGCATAAGACTGGCATAAACTAGTGGATAATCAGTCCAGACAAGTGCTCTAAAAAGAGCGAAAAGTTTTCACATAATAACGCCCAGGGTAGATGGTCCCAAATTAGTCA